AACCAGCTGTGTCAACCAAAAACTAAAAGTACAGTTATCATGCTTGTAAACAAATTATAGAGTTCAAAAACCACATTAATAGATTACTTTTTATAAATAATGTTTTGTTGTTGCATTTAACTGCCGAAAATGCTGTTATAGAGGCCATTTCCTTAGTAGGTGACGTCAGTAATCAAACGTAGGAGAAGTCGGCGCTCAAGAATTACCAGTTTAAGGGGCCTTTCGAGTGGATTTTTGCCAGTCATATGTGGTAAATGTACACTTCCCACTTGGTTACGAACGCATCATGAGCGTGTCTGTTGCACGTTACATCTCCCACTCCGGGTTAATGCGATGGGCTGTCACTGTTAAGTAAGCGCAACACAAGGTGCATTGGCCAATTCATTGAAAACTTCTGCTTTGGTTCTACCTGTTTACTGAAATGGGTACAAGAGGGAAGTTCGTAACGTGGCTCGAGCACTTTCACGAGGTGCTGAAACCCCCTATTCTCAACCACCGAGAATGGGCGCATATCGGCAGTTATACACCAAAAACTATAAACAAATTAGGGCTGTCCCAGACAAAAAAAAATCTTGGTCGACCGAGAGTCGTCTGTTCTTTCGACCAATCTATTGATTGAAATTTTTAAACATGTATTTTTCCATATACAGACCATATACTATGTTTGAATAATATCAACTATATGTAGGCTACTTTGTCTGATGCTTTAAGCAAGACACACAAATTCGTAAAGAGAGAGCCAGAGATTAATATAGCCTAACCAGAAGAATAAAACCTGTTCCCAACCCGACTCTCCTGCTCCCGCTGCCGGTAGTGTGCCAGTTATGATTTTCATATGGCTATTTTCGTGGAACAGTTTAATTTAATTTATAATAAAGTTTTCAGAATCAATATTCTATCTAAATGAAAATGATACAAATCTAAAAGTAACTTCTATTTCCATTGCCAACTATGTAAAAATAGCCTACATAAAGTCAACAAATAAAAAACATTGCAGCCAGCAAGTAGAAAATATCCTGATTTAAAAAGAAATATCCTATAAATCACATTGGCTATGCATGGCCTGTCTGCAAGGAACTTGAAACATTGTATCATCTATTAACTTGGGTCTGGCCAGAAGCTTATGCTAGCAAACTTGCAACATTGCATAAAATATTCTGGGCCCTCAGAGTTTCCCAGCCAGGGAGCTCCGGACAAACAGACACAGCTTTAGGCTATTTGTGCAAGAGATAAGAAGTAATCAGGGAGGCCTTTTTATGGCGTTTCCACCGGATCAGAGCATGAGATTTTCCCCCCTGTCATGCTGAGTGGTTATCGAAAGGGAGAGACATGGAAATATTTTTCAAATAAGCTACGTTGAGGAACTATTGTCATTCGCAATAGATGTAAAAACAGACTTCGTTTACTTGCTTTTTGAGGCGAAGAAAAAATAAATTTGAGAAGCTCCACGGTGGTGGTGAGTTAAGACAATCAGAAATAGTATCAGATCACCAAATGGGCACATTTTATAGGCCTACATTTGCACGCAGGCCAGATAGCCTAGGCCTAGTTCTATGTGTAATAAGGTGCGTGTCCTTTCCCAAGATAGACAGGAGCGCTCAACAAAAAAAATGAATACATTGAGAACTCATAAATGGAATGAAATACACCACAACTTTTTCCTCACAAGTGTAGCATAGGTTGTGCGCTCTGCAAACAACATGTCCACTCCTACAATGACAACGGTAAGACTGTAATAATAGTATATTGAATGCATTAACAGAAATTACCATAACCAAACAAACATTGTAGATTAGAAATGATGGTAATTACCGGTAAATGTACTATTGGTGATACTGGTGTGCCTCTGCAATGGATTAGTCCACTCAGACAGACGTGAATCAGACGGGTGTCTCCTGTGCCATAACATATTTTTTCTATATCTGCCACTGCTTGACTAAAAAAATATTGGTCGACCAACAGCCTATTGACCAAACAATCGACCAGTCGAGTAAATGGAGTCAGCCCTAAAACAAATATAAACATAACCTACCTATCGCTCTTGTAATTTCTTTGGACCCGGTCAGAATCATCTGCGAAGGGCTGCTTGAATGCAGAGTGGAGACGATGTTGTGTTTCTGTCTTGCTCCGGTATACTGGGGTGATGTCGGTGCAAATGTGTCATCATATTTGAGGTGTTGGCAGCTGCATAGGCTATTCTCGTTGAGCGTGGTGACATAATGTTAACGTTTTATCCACAACTTTGTATATCGCCGTTGTAATCTACTGGAAAGCCAACATTTTACCAAACTGGAGTGTGGACCGAGCCGAGGTCCCCGTAACCGAACGGTTCGGTACTAATACATGTACCGTTACACCCCTAGTCCTGGTTGTTAGACTCTGCCAAGTCTAACAGAACGTAGGAGAGAGTGTAAGAGAGAGAGGGGGGAGGGGGGGGGGGGGGGGGGGTAAGCGTCAGTAATTAGCAAGCAGACAGTGTTAGGTCATCATTAGCCCCTGGATGCCAAATATGGAGCTGGGTGTGTGTCTGGGGAGAGAGAGGTGTGTGTATGTGAGTTAGTGTATGTGTGTAATTGATTGCACATGTTTCTGCCGAGGGAGAGGAACGAGGCCATCGTCGATTCACACTTATGTTAAGGAAGGGGTGGGTGCATTCAAAAGGCTACTTTGGCCACTTAGCAACCTCTTTGGCGATGCACAGCGGCCATATTGGAATGGAATGCCCACCAGTCATGTTTTGAAACGAAAATTAGCATTCTCATTGGACAAATTCAGGTAGCAACTCTTAATGTTTCACTCCGTTGTGAAATGTTTGCTCCCGTTATGTGCCAACTGAACATGACCCAGGTCTGGGCCACTATGACGACTGAAGAGCTCTGTACATAATGGGTTAGGTGAGAGGAGAGTTGGACAGATGATCTCTGAACAGCTACAATAATGACCTCATTAAAACTGGAGGGGCTTTCCATCTTTATCTTCCAGTCTCTCTCATTTATATGCCATTTAGCAGATGCTTTTATGCAAAGCGACTTACAGTCAATCGCGCATACATTTTTACATATGGGTGGCCCCAGGAATCGAACCCACAACCCTGGTGGTGCAAGCGCCATGCTCTACCAACTGAGCCATACAGGACCCCCCCCCCCATTTCTCTACCCCTTTGTCCGTATGAATGTCATGTCAACATAAATCATTCCTGTTGATAGAGATGTAGAGTCTGAAAGGCTTTTCTCTTCCTCTATCTGGGATCACCTCTTATTATCCCTATCACTACCCCCCTCTATCCACCCTCCTCCCACCTTCTGTTTTTCTTCTCTGCTTTCACCTCTCCTCCTCATCCTCTCTCCCTCTCTATTCTGTCAGGCCTGACAGAGTGTGACTGAAGGGTGAATCAGATCAACTGAATGTTGTGAACCTGACCCAGATTGTTCATAAAAAAGGAAGGTGATGTCACCAGGTGATGTCACTGGATAAGATGGTATGATGTCATCAGCTGATGTCACTTGATATCATCTAAGACATAGGGCGTGGTCGAGTGGATCCATTTTGTCTAGTCGGTGACCATCGTTGGAAATTCGCCTTTCAAAGTGTGTTGCGTTATGGGGATAACAATTGTCTGACTTGCGCTTACATGTCGACTGCATGAACTTTACAAAAACTATGTGATCAAAGGTCATGCAGTTTTTGAAGTCGCCTTCGAGTTGCTGAAGTTGCTTCTCACTAACTGCACCATGCAGCCATCAGCTGCATTGTGGGAGACACTATTTGCCAATCAATAATTAGGGTGTTTTTGGTTGACCCACGAGAACGTGACCAAAGACGTGACTGAAACAGGAACCAACTTTGCCGCAATTCTAAAGCTACAAATGAAAGTGATATTTGAGACCCCTCTCTAGCCAATTAAATGTTTTCAGTTTGTGAGTGTTTGATATGGGGGTATAGAAAATGGTATTTCTACATTTATAAAGAAAAACTTTTATGAACAATAGCAGCTATGTTGACACTGCCATGTTGATCTGAGACTTGCTGTTGGAAATCCACTACAGCGTCCGACTTTCAGCTGTCGCACCTCTGTCGACTTCACTCGCCGACTTCCGTCTACAGTTGGCTTACTACTCAAACACCCAGATTCTCAGTAGTTTAATTGAGGTTGACATGAGTGCAGTGTACGCTGACACCTAGTGGGGATACTATGTCAATGCGGTTTGTCTTATGCCAACACATGCCTGCCTCGTGTATGTGTACGCATGTGTATGAGTGTGTACTGCATGGTGTACTGTATGTGTGTGTATCCATATATATGTCATGTGTATGTGTCTATTGTGTACGGTATGTGTATGACGTGAGTTGTGTGTGTAATGTGTATGTTAACCAGTTGACCTGGCCCTGACCTTTTGACCTTGTCCCGCTGACCTCCAGATGACCCCTGTCCCTGACCTGGTGTCCATCCTGAAGAGGAGGAGTGTGTGTGTGGCTCCCTTCTCGGCCCCACCCAAACACAAACACCCTGCTAAGCGCAGGGTCCGCTTCAAAGTACCTGACGACGGCTTTGACCACGGTAAGGATGTGTGTATGTATGTGTTTGAGTGAGTATATGTAAACCCAACAATGGTTATGATCAATTGCATGTGTATGTTTGTGCACGTACAGTATACAGCTATGTGTGTCTGTCTGCATTCTTACCATGTCACCCTCTTCCCTCTGTCCTCTCCGTTCTCCAGACAAGAAACAGTTCAATAAAGCTCAGATAAAATAGAATAAACATCTAAACGTGTTTCCTTTTCTCTCCTGCAGACGAGGTGGGCGGAGACTCCTGCCTGCTCCTCTTCCTGCTTTGCCTGGTCACCGTAGTGATCAGCCTGGGAGGCACCGCCCTCTACTGTGCCCTGGGCGACGCCCAGTCCACTGTCTGCACCGACTTCTCCCGTAACGCTGACTTCTACCTCGCACAGCTGCATCGTGGGATGGATCAGCTCCAAAGCTGGCTAACCTCCGGGTCTTAGCTGACCCCCAAGAGGAGATGAGAAGAGAGGGGGAGGAGGAGAGAAATAGGGGGAGGGAAGGAAAGGAAAGGAGAGGGGGAGAAGAAGGGGACAGAGGAGGAAAACTCCCTCGTTTTGCAGAGTGGATACTGTTTTCCTCTCTCTCTCTGTCCCTGGCACTCTTTCTGTCTTTACTGGCTGGCCAGTTAAAGTGTGTGTATGTGTGGCAGGAGAGAGAGAGAGAGAGATTGATGGAACGATGTGTGTTTGTGTGTGGTACTGGTAGGCTGCATCCACACTAACAGTTCCCTAAGACATCTGCAGTGCTGCCTAGTAGAACTAGTAGGACTGACCTAGGACCTGTAGTATACTGGACTACCCATAGAGGTCAACTATACACTACTGGACATACACTACCAGTCAAAAGTTTGGACACACCTACTCATTCAAGGATTTTTCTTTATTTTTACTATTTTCTACATTGTAGAATAATAGTGAAGACATCAAAACTATGAAATAACACATGGAATCATGTAGTAAACAAAAAAAGTGTTAAACAAATCAAAATATATTTTATATTTCAGATTCTTCAAAGTAGCCACCCTTTGCCTTGATGACAGCTTTGCATTCTCTCAACCAGTTTCATGAGGTAGTCACCTGAAATGCTTTTCCAACAGTCTTGAAGGAGTTCCCACATATGCTGAGCACTTGTTGGCTGCTTTTCCTTCACTCTACGGTCCAACTCATCCCCCAAACCATCTCAATTGGGTGGAGGTCGGGTGATTGTGGAGGCCAGGTCATCTGATGCAGCACTCCATCACTCTCCTTCTTGGTCAAATAGCCCTTACACAGCCTGGAGGTGTGTTGGGTCATTGTCCTGTTGAAAAACAAATAACAGTCCCACTAAGCGCAAACCAGATGGGATGGCGTATCACTGCAGAATGCTGTGGTAGCCATGCTGATTAAGTGTGCCATGAATTCTAAATAAATCACAGACAGTGTCACCAGCAAAGCACCATCACACCTCCTCCTCCATGCTTCATGGTGGGAACCACACATGCAGAGATCATCCGTTCACCTACTCTGCGTCTCACAAAGACACGGCGGTTGGAACCAGAAATCTCAAATTTGCACTCATCAGACCAAAGGACAGATTTCCACCAGTCTAATGTCCATTGCTCGTGTTTCTTGGCCCAAGCAAGTCTCTTCTTCTTATTGGTGTCCTTTAGTAGTGGTTTCATTGCAGCAATTCGACCATGAAGGCCTGATTCACGCAGTCTCCTCTGAACAGTTGATGTTGAGATGTGTCTGTTACTTGAACTCTGTGAAGCATTTATTTGGGCTGCAATCTGAGGTGCAGTTAACTCTAATGAACGTATCCTCTGCAGCAGAGGTAACTCTGGGTCTTCCTTTCCTGTGGAGGTCCTCATGAGAGCCAGTTTCATCATAGCGCATGATGGTTTTTGCGACTGCACTTGAAGAAACTTTCAAAGTTCTTAACATTTTCTGGATTGACTGACCTTCATGTCTTAAAGTAATGATGGACTGTCATTTCTCTTTGCTTATTTGAGGTGTTCTTGCCATAATATGGACTTGGTCTTTTACCAAATAGGGCTATCTTCTGTATACCACCCCTACCTTGTCACAACACAACTGATTGGCTCAAACGCATTAAGAAGGAAAGAAATTCCACAAATTAACTTTTAAGAAGGCACACCTGTTAATTGAAATGCATTCCAGTTGACTACCTCATGAAGCTGGTTGAGAGAATGCCAAGAGTGTGCAAAGCTGTCATCAAGGCAAAGGGTGGCTACTTTGAAGAATCTCCAATATAAAATATATTTTGATTTGTTTAACACTTTTTTGTTTACTACATGATTCCATATGTGTTAATTCATAGTTTGGATCTTCACTATTATTCTACAATGTAGAAAATAGTAAAAATAAAGAAAAACCCTTGAATGAGTAGGTGTTCAAAAACTTTTGACTGGTACTGTAGACTGACTCGAAGTCAACCCAGAGGAATGGATAGAATGGGCTATACTCATTACCACTGACCTTGGACCTGCTCACTACTACATGGACCTGTCCTCTGTGTCCTTCAGGCATGGACAGGACTGCTCACCTGCGCAGACAGGAAGTGCTTGGGCAGCCATTTTAGAAACCGGCACAGCTCTTTGTTTACTGCCGCCATTTTTAATCTCAACTACACCTCAAATATGAACAATTCTGCTGTGGTCAGAAACATTAAATAATGTCTTTAAAATAATCTTCTAATAATTAACGTTTTGTTGTAATGAAACAGATTTTACTTTCCTTTACGTTCCTCACTATTGAGTATTTTTATGGTGTATGAAGGGTGTTTCTTTGGGCTGAGGATAGAAGTTGCCCCTAACCACAGATCTAAGATCATATCTTAACCTATCCTCAACCAGGAGGGGGAGGAAATATCTGACCCTGTATCAGTGGTTAGGGGAAACTTCTACCCCTTCTGTTTATTGGGTTGTTTTGGGGTACAGATAGTTCAGCCTGATTGTAGCGTTGGCCCCTTGATGACCATTGGTGTGTGTCAGACGGAGATATATGCAACATGGACAAGAAAGCAATACATGTCTGTAATAGTGTGTTAAAATAATGTTTAAAGTCCTAAGGATCAGATCAGTAGATCGGTATAAGAATATCTGTTCATCTGAGAATTGTCTTTGCTCAGGCATGTCTATATTTATCTTTATTGTAAAGTAATTATGGGCATCTTCATCATCATCATGTGATTGTCATGATCAGTTACCCCAGTGCATTACCTCCTGCGATCAATGGACTCGATAGAAATTTTTTTTTTACGTATAATTTTTGTATTTGTGTATATTGTTTTTTCTTTTATTTCGGGTTTATAGTCTATTTAATCAATTATCTGTTTTATTGTTTGTGTCAGTCGGTGGAAATGCACAAAGTCAGTGTGTCGTTTTAGTTTCGTTAAGAAGAGTTCAGTAGACGTGGATCGTATGACGACGTAATGATGACGCAGGCTGGGCAGTGACTCTCAGGCCAAATCTCAACTGTCGAAAGTGGCTTCCTCTCCTCTCCTTCATCTCCTCTGATATGAAAACAGACGACAGGTGAAACCAACAGCAAAATATAATCATATTCAGATATGTTGTAAAATGCACAATAAACTGTAGATACATTAATTAGCTTGGAAGAATGCCAGGAGAGTCTCTTTCGTCTCTAGCACTTTCAGAGGGGTGCAGATGGAGAGGAGACGAGGACAGGAAGCCACTGTAGACTATTGAGATGCAGCCTTGGTTTTATAATTATTTTCACTTGTCCTCTGGCTGGTTCAGATGACTCTATCTTACTGTTTGGATCTGAAGTATTTATATCATATCTGCACAATGTAAGGGGAGAGAAAACAAACGATCAAATCTAAATCTTTACCTGCATGTCCTTTTCTGTTGTTTCTCTCGTTTTGGCTTGATGTGGGTATCGTAGATAAGATTTTTATGTTTGTCATCGTGGTTTAGATCTGTCTTTACAGTCTGGAGGGATTACTGTGTGGTGCGTACTTTTAAACACCGGTTCCTCTCTGTTGATAATAAACCTTACTGTGGGGACTGGTCTGACACAATTTTACGCTGTTGTTATAAAGTTCCATTAAGTTAGTCATACAGCTGTTAAGTTGTTATTAAGTTTGTAAATTGTTAAGTTGTTCATCATTGACAATAGTCTGATAAACCCATGTACAAAAGCCAGATACCAAATACAAAACACTCTTCTGAACGACACTTTTAGGGGACAGCCACTAGAGGCAGCCCTGGACAGCATTGGAAAGCCTCACATAGCTGCGCCGCATTTGCGCAGACGGTACACGTTTTAGGTGAAGCCAAGCCATATTAATACTTTGATTTCGCAATTATTGGTGTTCTCAGTTTGGTCAAAGTGATACGAGAAATATATATACAGTTACAGTAGAATAATTGTTACGGGACTACGGTACTGCTTTGAAAAAAACTAAACGTTGCTCACAACCTGACGCGGAGTCTGACCAGAGATGGAAGAGGAAGCAAGACATCTCACTCGCTCCTTTTTTCTGGTTCAGAAAAAGTCAAAATAAGGCACCAGACCCAGCTACTAAGCAGACCGGAACTGTTTAAATGGTAAACGGCATGTGTAAGACATCTTCATATATTGATCATCTTTGGTCTGACGGCCATTTGCGGATGTAAACACCGTTTCCCAGTTCCACATGCGTGCGAGAGCGGGATGGCGTTAAAGTTGGAACGTTTTGCCTCTGCAGGGAAAGGGAATGGTCTACGAGCAACACATGAAATACGTGCAGGTGAACTGCTGTATACGGCGGAACCTCTAGCATGCTGCGTGTCCAACAAATGCGCCAAAGATTTCTGTCACAGCTGCTTCTCACGGTAAGAGCTGTAGACCTTTTCGTTATACTAGACACTGATCTAAAGTAAGTTTTGCGTTTTACCCAATAGGATTTGGAGAGGGTAAATGGCCCTCTACCTGGCCTACGTGCAACATCGGCGTTATTGCGTTCTGGAACCTTGTTGTCGTGTTGTTATTAAATACTGCCAAATAGCTAATAGATAGCTAGCTAAATACCTTTGTATAGCTCACTAAAACAGCCGTAAGTTGCTCATATTAATTTCCAACGAAACTGAGTGTAGCATTAACTACAACAGTACAAAAACGTATACACTACCACTGGGCTGACGTGAGATTTGCTGCTGTACTCAAACTGGACGGTCGCTAGATGGCAGTGTTGCGTTTCCATTTTCTTCAGCTCTAGACAATCTTTTTGTATCGGACTCTATTGTAGTAGTAGGCTATGAGATTTACAAGTGATCGAGTTAATAATATATGATACATGGCTAGTTATCACTAATCTCAGATGGAGCACACTGTTCAGTTCCATAAAGAGCTTCACTAAGAACCCAATTGTCATTTACAGTAAATTAATTATAAATTTTTTATACAGACATTGGCCAACTGAGAGCTTTGCA